CTAACAAATCTTTAACATTCTTTGTAAGTATAAAATTTTCACAGTTTTTACAGCAGGAGAACTTAACATGCATGGTGTTTTGGAAAGCAGTCTCTCATATTGATCAGGTGCTTCTGGAAGCCCAATACAGTATTAGAAATAGCAGACACTGAAAACCTCACAGTATGTGAACTGTCAGAATATTGTCCAAACAGTATTCGTCTCTCTGAGTTGAATTCTGTATCCTGATCAGATAAGTATTCAGAACAGTCATCATCTTTTCTACCAAATCATCTGAACTTTAATCAAAGGTTTTAAATAAGCCTGTTTCTCTCTCTTTTCAGGCTACTGAAGGTCCCTGCAAGGCTCCAAAACCAGGTATGCTGGACTTTGTCAAGAAAGCCAAATGGGATGCATGGAACTCTCTTGGCAATTTGTCTCAGGTGACAAAACTCATAATTTCACTTAGATACTTTGTGGATTACTCTACCTTGAAGTGCCTGGTCTTTAAGTGAGTGGCTGATGACTAAAAATATTGCATGCTAGTTGAGCATCTCTGCTTCAGCCTTTAAAATGTTTGCTACTATATTCCTCAATCACTTCACTGCTTCACTTTTTTTGAGATTTTTTTTTTTTAGTGTGTAAGCCTAGTTCTACATTATTACTGCCAGCTTGTATCTGTGTAAGAGATCTTACGTGGTGACTTCCAATTAAAATAGTGGTTTTTTGCATTGTGGTCCATTTTGCTCTTCTCCTTAAGAAAAATTGATTGAGCTTCTCTGTTCTTACAACAAAACACAAATCTCTGAATTCAGCATATTCATAACTTTGCCATTTTAAAAAGTCAGTCTCTTATGCTGTTGACTAAAAGACTAGAAAAAAATGGTGTATTGAGAGCCTCTCTTCATTCTTTCTTTCTCAATATATCTTGATATTTTTATTATCTTTCATAACCTTTAGAGAAGTCAAGTGAAGCAAGCAGGGAGAATAAAGATGCAGAGATACATAAGCAATCCTTTTTCATGCAGGCTTTAGTAAGTCTGACTGCATACAGCTGCTATTAAATGAAGGTTATCTCAGCTGCTATTAAATGAAGGAAACAAACTTTTCAAATCATCTGTGTCAGTGCTGCATTAGACCTGCTGCTCAGTAGTAGTTGCTGAGCTCAATCAAAAAGATTCTTTAATATAGAGGAGGGGGTTTGTATTTTCCTTTTTCTAAAAGAAAACATGGTTGCATAATCTCATGAATATAAGATATTGTTCTCCTTTGAGATTTTTAGGGTGCATTTTGATCTTTTGTTTAGTTTGGGGTTTTAGGGTTGTTTTTGAGATGGCCCTGCAGCTTTTAGGAGTAGTCAAGAAATACTTAAGGAAGAGATTTGGCTCCTCAAGTTAGAGTGGGGAGTGGATAGACATTTTCATGTGCTATCATTATAGATTATAGAACTGTGCAAAGTATGCAAAGTATCCTTTCAAGCCAATAAGTTGTAACAACCAAGTACTTAAAATTCTTCTAAGTCATTGCTTATTTTAGAAATAGGGAGACAGGATTCCTTAGGCTTCTGTGTGTCATGTTAGTGCTAAATGAAAACTATTGTCTTCAAGCAATTTTAAAATGCCATAAGATCCATTTCAGTGATTTTATTTTCAGCAACACATATTCTAAAATAAAAACTTTTGTTGAAGAAATGTCTGACTGGAAAGCAGAAACAAAGGATCCATAGAAATGTGTAAATGCTAGGAATATGACAAAGGTCTCTCTGTTAACCTTAATCATGGATGGGAGCACTCTTCCAGCAAAATAAATGTCATTATCCCAGCATCTCTTTCATTTTGTGAATGTATTGCTACTGCCTTTAAGGTGACTTAAAGCATTTTCTGCAGTGCTCAAATACAACATGTTCCTCTCCTCTCCCCCCTGAATGGAATATGTTATAATGTAGATTTTAATTTTCTTTTGTCCTAAAGCAGTCACCTTCCCCTCCTCCTCCACCCAGGTACCCATTTTATTAGTACTGTAACTGATTTCAATTGTAGCTTTTCATAATCTTGTGTGTGTTATTTTCTTCTTACTTTTTAAAAGTATTTTTTCCTTTTTTTTCCTTCTTTTTTTTTCTACCTTATCTTAAAATTTCTTTAATTTTATTGCAGGATGAGGCCAGACAGAAGTATGCTGAACTTATCTCAAGTCTGGTCTCTGCAGAATCTGCTAGCCAGAAGAAAGAGGCTTCACCAGAAGAGGGCAGACACGATGGCTATGAAACATTAATAGTTACTACCAAAAACAATATCACAAAGATAATGTTTAATCAACCAGATAGGAAAAATGCCATCAACCATCAGGTAAAGAAATGAACTTGGGAGGATTAATGATTTTTAATCTTTAAAGGGTCCTAACTACAGGTTCAAAAGAACTGACTGAAGCATGGTGTTCTGACCCTTGTGAGGGGTCCAACAACAGCCTAAGGAAAGCCAGTACAAAATTCAGCTAAAATTTTACAGATTAGGTTTTCCTGTGTCTCTTGATTTCTTTCAAACTTAATATAGGATTATGGTCTAGACTAAATTAAAATAGCAAACTGCAGGAAGACTGGCCTGTATTTTGGATGCAAGATTTGACTGCTGTGTTGAGTATAACAAAGCATTTTGTGTAGCCTTTGGCTCAGTACTGCTGCACAGATGTGTAGGTGATCTTCTGTTTCCCACAGTTATCTTCATGAGTAAGGCTATCCTTGGAAGCATCACAATCATCCTGGTTCAGAGATACCAGAGCAGGGTCTTCACCCCACTGCTGCTGATTCTTTAGTATGTTATTTTGTCCACTTAAACTGCTGTATTGAAACTGTCTGTTTCATGTCAGTGCTTGTTTTTCCAAAGAACCTTATTTTGTCCTTCAGATTTGCACTGCAAATTTTCAGTATTGCAAGCGTGTGTCTTTATGGTCCAAAGTACTTCACATTTAATAGCAAACTTTCTGTGCATGACAAATTTTTCAGTAGTTAAAAGGATCATAGTTAATCTATTTCTTGAGTTCCTTGTGATCAGTGTCAATCTCATTTTTATGTTCTTTTGCAGCATCACATTTGTACTTTGTTGATTTTCCTTTTATGCAGATGTACAGAGAAATTATCAAAGCGCTTGAAGAAGCTGGAAAAAATGATTCTACCATAGCAGTTATTACTGGTATGTTTTATGTTATACCAAGGTATAGAACTGACAATGAAATACCTACCTGTGTTTAGACTAAGGTAAAATTAAGTGAGGAAATCCTTTCTTCTGTTATAGGCCAAAGATTTTCTGAAGTGTTTTGGCAAATTTTCTTCAAGCTGGAGTTTTAAATTCTTAAGCAAGCTTGCTGTTACATCAAAACATCTTTCTCAGCTGAGAAGATGGACATGGAATACTCCTAAAGGCTTTATTACTTTTGAATAGCTGCCCATCTGGCCCGTCCTCATTGCAGAGAAGTGTCTTTTTAGGAAATTAGCCAAAACTTGAGTTTCGGCTGGCAGCTAAGTAGTGTGAATTCAAGGTGAATGTGGGCTTGAACATGTTTACGCTGAGGTAACTGCTTGCAAATTCTTCTCCACTGGTGTTTACCAACACCTGGTTCCCATTCCCAGAATGCTGGATTTCCTTTCTGTAGCAATGACTGTGCACCACAGTCCTTACAAGATAAGAAAGGCGAGTCACACAGTTGAAGCTGGAAAGTCTAACACATTATATAGTAGTGAGTCAACAGCAAACATTTCTGCAAAACCTTTCTGTTCCTTTTCACACAGTGAATAAAAGTACTGCAATGTAAAATAGGTCCCATCCTGTGAATGTCCTCATGGAGCATAGGGTGATTTAGGCAATTGAGTCATGAAGTAGTCAGCTTTTAAATGCTTCTTGCTTTTTTGGTGGTCCCTCAAATTGACTTATACATTGAATACCAGCTTATCTGTTTCTTACTGAAGAATCCATCTTCCGGTACAGTGATGTCAATGCAGTGCTGTCAGTCTTATCCTTAGACTACTGTTCCTTTTTCTCAATAGATCATTAAAAATATTATATTAAATAGGTTAAATAGGTTATTCTGTCTACTTTTGATTTCTTCATCAGTTTGAATGAGGGTGAAGGGAGATGCATCAACTTGCGCGTCCATTCTCCTGTTTAAAAAAAAATGTTTCTCACATCTAATTGTTTGAATAGCTGCAAATTGACAGGAAACAATAAACCCTAAGGAAGTGTGCAGGGAAAGAAATAAAATATTTTTTCTATCTGACAGTTACAGAAAAAAAAATTATTTTTCCATATAAAATATTTCACAGCTAGCATTCTTCGGCTTTTTACTGAATTTTTTTTCAACAAATTGACAGTCAAAACACTTTTAAACTATAGATGTCCTTTAAGATATTGTATATATTTTGATAAAATCCCTCTAATTTATTAATGTCATTAGACACTTGGGATGAAATTCTTTCATAAATGTAATAAATGAAAGCTTCTCTTCTCTTTCCTACTCAGAAACCATTGGTGCATTTTTTCTTATGTGTTTTCTGCAGGAAATGGAGACTACTACAGTAGTGGAAATGATCTGAGTAATTTCACTAATGTCCAGCCTGGTGAAATGGAGAAGATGGCAAAAGATGGAGCAGTATTACTCAAGTAGAACATCTTGGTTTCATATATACATAAGTTACTGTAATGGGAAAAATATAATTTGCAGGCATTGTTAGAAAACAAAGCGGAGACCCAGATTCATCTATTTAGGTGACTGTATCTGTGGGCTCATCATGTGCATAAACACAAAGATCCTGTGGGAGGAAGTGGTATTAATTGTATGAAATAGATTAATATTGGAAGTCTTTTTAAGTACAGTGATGCCAAAGACTTGATTTCCTTGATTAGTCCCCCAAAGTACATACAGGTATAATGACAAAAACACTGTTTTAACTGTATATGAAAAAAACGGGGGGGGTTTGAAAACCAACAAGAAAAAGAAAACAAAAAGAAAAGCCAAAAAAACCTCAACGGCAAAACTCCTTGAAAAAAAAAAAAGGGAAAAAACCTGGCCAAAAATGCCCAAGAAATCCCCGAACCTGGGTTTAACGTTAAAGTCCAAATCAACCGGTAAAAGAAATTAATTGCCAAAAACAAAGAAAACAAGGAAAACAACCCAAAAGAAGGGCCGCCGCCGTTTTTTCCCCCTTACTTAAGCAGATTCTGTTTTCTTTTTTACTTCTGTATGTGATAATTGCATCTGAGAGATGTTTGCAAATTGGAGTGTTTCCTTAGGCACTTACAATTGGTGAAAAAGCTAAAATACACAGAAAATCAGTGGTTTTGGTTTATGTTTTAAAGATGAACTGCAAGTGAAGTACTCAGTTTTGCAGCTTTTACTTAGGTGAGCTGTCTGTGGATCACAGTTGCCCCTCAAAGTGATAATGATGCAGTGTGATCCTGTTGTGAAGATGTTACTCAATGGTACTTGGCAAGTGTTCCTGCCTGTGGTGTGGTGTTTTGCAGGGTGTTCAGCACAATGCAGCATCTCATGTGCTTTATGGTCTTTAACCTTGCACTTCTGAGAAGCCTGTATTTGTTGGGCTCTTACTGTTACACAGGCACAGTGCTTCACTACAACCACAGAAATGCCAGAAAAATAGAGTTATTGCAACACTGTTCTCTTTGGGAAAATGTTTTATTTTGAGAATGCATTTTGCACCTCTTGGATGGAGAAGCAGCTGTCAGATGAAACAAAATGCTGTTTCTCAAACGTGTGCAGAAGAGCACTAGGGAATTCTGTGTTGAGGTAGCATTACAGTGTTGGTGCCTGTTGGGGCTTCACTGCAGAACAGTCTGTGAAGGGAATTGCTGTCCCATGGGTGGAGTTGGAATGGATGCACAGGCAGAGGGCTCTTGTCAGTGTGCTATATTCAGCAACTGTAGCTGAAGAGGAAAGCACTTCCATAACTTGATCATAGGAACTAGGAAAGCTCTGCTGATATGTACAGGTTTGATTCTTAGTTGCTAAGGAAATGCAGCTATTTCAGATAGTTATTACTTTGTCACAATTCATTTCTGAAAGGCTCAAAAAACATACATTACATAGTTTCCACTTAGCCTATTGGTTTTGTTATGCAGTGTCTAATTATGTGTTTTGCAATTTGTTTATATTGGATGAAAAACACTTGAGGTGTATCTCTTACATCTTGCATCTTCTGTTTTCCTTTCTCTCTAGAGATTTTGTGGGTCATTTTATTGATTTTCCTAAACCACTGATTGCAGTGGTAAATGGCCCAGCTATTGGAATCTGTGTAACAGTCCTTGCTTTGTGTGACCTTGTCTATGCTTCTGACAGGGTAAGTACATTACATGACCTATCCCAAGAACAGTCTTAAAGCCTCTTTCTGTATTAAATACTATTTGATTTGGGGTAATCTGAAAGAAAAGTTCTAAAGGCTTTGTATATCACATCAAGGAACATCTACCTATGTTAATAACCAGCACAGGGGTGCATCAGCCAGTGGTTAACATGGATGGAATTTCTCGTGCTGTAGTTATGAAGTTACTGCCTCCAGCTTAGAGGCTCTTTTCTAAGACCCCCTCTTCTAAGCTGTTGTGAAATTATGTTTGTAAGGCACCTTTTAGGTGTGAAAGGGGAAGCAAAAGTTTATTATGGAATGGAAGTTCAGTAACTGGCTGAAGTAATTACAGATCACTGATGGCTGTCACTCTTGACATATATCCTGTTTGTATAATGTGTATGATTTATTCAATTATGGCCCATGTATCTCTTTTTCTACGAGAAAAATATTGGCTTCTCCCTCTTTCACCCCTCTCATCTGATCTTTTGTTGCTACAGGGTGAACATATTTTTCCTTGTTTCTTAGTTTAAAGAACAGTCTATATGCATCCTCCCTTGGAATAACTTTAGCCATCAGTGTACTTAGCCTATTTGATATATCTCAGGTTTATCTTCCCAATTTTTTTCCTTTTTTTTTTGAGCTGAACAGCTGCCATTTGTTCAGCCTTTCCTCATGTGGGCTGCAGTCATATTCCTCAGGACTCTTTCATTTGCTCTGTCTCTTTAAGCATAGTGGTACAAGTACGACACATCACTCCAGCTCTTGTCTAACTAAACGTGAAATGGAGCAGACAAACTTCTCCACATTCTGCAGGCTGTATTTCTGATTTGACATCCCACTGTGTTACTTGATTTACATACTTGTGATCTAACACCTAGATCCCTTACTGCAAAGTTGTCAGGAAAACATTTTTCCCTATTTGCATTCTACATACCAAGTTGTTTCCAACAAACTTTAACTTATCCATCAGTAGTATCTTCTTACTCATACCTCTCAATTTTATCAAGACTATTTGGAAGTCTAGACACTTGCCGTCAACATATCATCTCCTTATACCCATGAGTTAGTTTAGATTTAGTTGAAATTTAATCCAAATATGCATGAAATGTTTTGTCCTATTAACAGTACCCTTCTTTCTTGAATGAAGTTCGTACTTGAACTTCTTTTTTACTTTTACTTTGTATATATAATCATTGATAAATGCATCTTATTTTTTGCCTTGTATTTTTTAAAAATCTCTGCATGATTAGAAGAGTTGCATACTTATTATCTGACACAGTTTTCACTTTCTGCATCTTTGTGTTTAAAGTCCATGGCAAGCTCATTATTTAGAGTCTGCTGGTACCTTCCTACCTGCACTGGGGCAGCTTTTGCTTGAACCCTTGGTAACAGTTCTTGGAGGATTTCTATAGGATCTAACCTAGCCTTTCACTTAGATTATCCTTTGTGACAATTTTTCTATTACCTTCAAGATTCTTGAACCCCTCTCAAAGTTGATTGTTCTCTGTTCTAACAGATTGTTCACTGTTCTGTTCTGATTTGCAATTATGGTATTATTTTGTATGACTCCTTGCTGCATTTCTGGCATAGGCTCTTTTTAGATTTGCTTAAAATTTGGTGAAAAAAGATTCAGTGACTTGAATTTTTCAGAAGAATAAACTTGGTTTGCCTTCAGAAAGGCAAAAATGCTTTTTGCCTCCTAAGTTATTTGGAATACGTATTTAATAATGTTTAAGGCAAATGTGCATGAACATCCTTTCTGTAAAGATTTTGCATGAACATTAGTTTATCTAAGTGCTTTGTTCAATTAATGTAACTTCACCAATAAGGGTTGTTGGATGTGGGAATGGAGTTACACGAAGTTGGCTCTGGGGTGCATTGAGGGAATGAAGCAATGTTGCCAGATGGTATTTGAAGGCTATTATGGTGATAGGTCAGATGTGTTTGCTGAACTCTGTTGCAGTAGAAGATTTAAAATGAGAATGAAATCCTAGTACTTCAGTTCCATGCTCTGATCTAAGGTTTCCTTTTTGTTGTTCTTTTTTTTTTTTCCAGGCTACATTTCACAGCCCATTTAGTCAACTTGGGCAGAGCCCAGAAGGATGTTCCTCTTACCTGTTTCCAAAAATTATGGGCTTAGCCAAGGTAAGAATGTCTGCACTGCCTGCGGGATCATCTGACCTTTGTGTGTTGGTATCCTCTGACCGTGACAGCAAGAATGGTCTTCTGTCCATACTCTTTAATTTCTCTGTCCATTCTAGAAATAAGGAAACAAATTTATAATTAAAAGAAAAAAAAAAAAAAAAGGAAAAAAACTGAAAAATTAAGAGACAGCAGAATCTTTTTTTATTCTCAGAACAGCATAAATCATAAATCCTTTTTGCTTCTTTTGATATCCTACAGAAAAAATCTGGGTAGTTTTAAATACTTATATTTAATGCACTAATAGAATGTATTTTTTTGAGCAGGGTTTAAATCTATAAAGAGCAGAGCAAGTACCAAGGCATACAAGTACCAAGACTAGTCTGTTCAGTGAGACACTGCCTGCCAGTACATGTTCTAGAAATCCTGGAGTCACTGCAAAAGTGAACAAACACATTTATGATGCAGTAATTTCAGATTGCAACCTTGGAGCTCTGCTCAAAAAGACATGTACAGTCCTAGTGAACAGCAGGAACTGTAGGCCAGTCCCTAGTGATGAAGCCCAGAGGTTGATTCTGGGTATGAAACTTGCTTAACCTCTTCCGTATGGCCTGGATGATGGGACTGAGTACCCTGCTCGAGCAAACCCTTTGAAGTAGACAGTATCTGGAGGTTCCTTAATAATTACAGTAATAATAATCATCATCTATTCTGTGTTCTTTTCAGAGGGCAGATATTAACAAGCGAGAGAGTAAAACAAATGTGATGTGGAAGCATGCAGCTTCTCTGTCAGATAACTCAAGTCTTGTGTCTTGTTGAATCACACTTTACTTTTTTTATATAGGCAAGTGAGATGTTGCTTTTCAATAAAAAGCTGACTGCAGCAGAAGCCTGTGCCCAGGGACTTGTGACTGAAGTCTTCCCTGACAGGAGTTTTCAGAAGGAAGTTTGGGCAAGATTAGAAGCTTATGCAAGCCTCCCCAAAAATGTCAGTATTTTTAATTTTTCTTCACCTTGTAAGCCTGTAGAATTCCCAATTTTTCTGCCAAACCTGTCTTGTCACTTGGTTTCACTTTATCCTTAATCAAAATAATGAGGCTCAATATATTTTCCTTCAAGCACAGATCTGGCCCTCTGTTGCTGGGAGTCAGATCCTTCTCTTCTACTCTGTCTGCATCTAAGACAGTGCACTGTCCACAGAGATGCAGTGGCTGAAAAGCCTTACAAATTAACTGATTAATCCACCTGTGCAGTGCATCTGTGAGTGCCTTAGGTGGCTTCTTTTAGGTTTTTATTTTGGCAATATTTTATATTTAAGATTCTTACTACTGGTTCTGCAATATCATTATAGTGTGTGCACTATGGGTATTCAAGATGACACTGTGTGGCTTTAATTTTTGCTGAACTCAGTGTTCCTGCCCCCTAGTTTAGGATTTGCAAGACTACTAAGTCATGGTGGTCTTATGTTTCCTTGGACAGGAGGAGACAGTTGTGCCAGCTGCTGATAATGTGGGTGGCATTTCACACTGCAGACAGTTGAATGGGTTTTGTTTCTTTTGCCCAACTACTCTGATTATGAGTACTTGGAGGACTACTGGTTTGCTTCCCATGAACTTTCTCCACTTTATTAGTAGTCTAGGGAATTAAATGCAATAAATAATTCAAGCAAAAAGGTTAACTAAAAGCTAAGAGATCTGATGTTAATGCAGTTGGGTTAGGATTCCAGTGTGGGTTTTGCATTATTTCCTGAAGCACTAAAGTATAGAAAAGAAAACTTAGCTTCCTAATGTTCCTCTCTTTGTCCTCTAGTCTTTGGCAGTGTCCAAGCAGCTATTACGAAGTATGGAAAAGGAGAAGCTCCATGCAGTCAACAGCAGAGAGTGTGAAGTGCTGATGGAGAGGTGGTTGTCTGATGAATGTATAAATGCTATTGTCAGCTTCTTCCAGAAGAAATCAAAACTCTGATCTTCACCAGTAGGGTAATTCACCATCTGGCAGTAGCCTGATCTGCCCTCATCATTAATAAACTTCCTCTTCAAATAGTAATTAGTAATAGTAATACCACCTTTTCATGTGGTATATCTCTGTTCTGAGTACTAGGTTAAACCTGGTTCCCAAAATTAATACACTGTTATGTGCCTTGGATCCATTATGGTTTAGGTTGGGGAAAAAGGCTTATTATTCTGTAGGCATCAGTGATGTTTCTGAATAATACTAAAGCAGATTGTTTTCTTAAGAGATTCTATAGCACTCTGTTTTTATAGCTCTTCAATAAGCATCTTATGAATGATTCTTTTTATTTGTCTGGGGGGAAGGAAACACTGTATTAATGAAAAAATAAATAGAAATATTTAATTACCGTTGTGGTGATTCTTTTTCTTTCTGTGAAACATCCTGAGTGAGAGGGCAAGTAGTTCCTGGAAGCCCTATTAATGTAATAATCCTACAAAAAAACATTCACTTGACTTCACATTCAACTCAAAAGATGTTTGTTTGAGCTCTGTGGGTCTAATCCCCAGTGTATTTTTCCATTAATTGCTTCATATGACACCTTTTCTGTGGAAAAGTGTGATGTGTTTGCTTTCCTCATGGGAAAATGCAGCCCGTGATAACCTATTGTTGGATGAAACAGCAGAAACAGGAATGCCTTGATCAGTACATGCCAGCATACCTCTTACAGCAATGGGAGATAAATCACTGCTCTCTGTGAGTAATGAGAGTAAATCAGCATTACCTCCTGTGTGGTTTTGGTTAACTTTTGGAAAAGTTCAATCAGTGTCTCAGATCACTTAGAAAGTTCGTAACTTATGTTCACAAAATGTTTGTTTCAACTTAGCATCTTTAATAATTTATACAAATTTTATAGGTGTCTGGTATTGACAACAGTGAAGTCTGATGAATCTCTTAAGACACTTTCTGTTTACTCCATGCAACAAAGCAGCAGCTTTGGATCATTTCTCCTGACACATAGTCACTTATTAATTATATCTATGATAATTAGATTGTGAGAAATACATAAGTGTTCCTGAATGTTCCCTTCCATGGTATCGCTGTTGGATGGTGCCCATTTTCCTAATGGGGGTGCAATGTACAACAGGATTCAGGTCCTGCTTGGCACAGTTATACACACACCTACTCTCTGCCTCTGTGTTTGTATAGAATCAAATGGACCACATGAATACCAGAGGCAAGATTCCAGCACCAAGTTTCAGAAAATAAGGTGTTCTGAGCTTACACTGATTAGACCTGCAACATTCATTGATTATATTCATTATAGTTACTGCTAATACAACACCTGTTTGACTAAAAACACATTTGAGATCAACAATTAGAAATCCAAAGTCTGTCAGAACCCACAAAATTCTGACTATAATTGATATGTTCAGTATTTTCAGGCTGCATTATGAAGCCAGCTTTTGTGTTTGTAATACTGAATTTACAGCAAATATCCATAATGACTGTGCTGTGTTGAAGTGCCTCTCCCTTGTTCCAGCTGGATGTAAACACTTCCATGAGGGTAATGTTATAGATCTCTGATCTGAACAAGGACATAGAAGTTTCCAAACAGGTTAGAATTTATGATGAAAAACTTAACTATAGTCATTAGTGAAAGATTTCCTGCACCTAGAAACTTTCCTGGGTACTTACAGATAATGATATAATCTTGTAGAAATCAAGCAAAATGTTTCCATTGGCAAGATTTTCTTCAAAGATTATTTTTCTTCAATTTGCAAGCAACTAAACATTAAAATGCACTCTATATTGCCTATAACACATACATAATGTCAATATCAATTGGTATCAATACATTTTAGCCATAAGTAGCTGGAATAGGTTTAGAATGCAACATGTAAAATCTGGGGAAGAAAAAGGAAGCCCAAAATCTTTGTCCCTTCCTAAAATTCCCATCTTGTTCATGCAGACCCATCACGTGAGGTATGTTAAAAGCCAAGTTCAGCTCACTGAAACTAAAATACGCACTTGTAGCATGTTAAAGTTTTCTAGTAAAAGATCAAAGGAAAAAGGCAAGTTGATAATTTCTGAGAAATGTTTTCACATGCACTATATCTCAAATTGGTTTTCTTATTTTGCAGGACTCTTGTGGACCTTTTGCTAAATTTGAGTTTATCTGAGCATCAGTGTAACGTAACAGAGGTGAACTTTGTTGGCCAAATAAATTAGGTATCACTTTAGCTAACTCTAAATATCAAATAGAATGAATGTTTTATGCCTGGAAGAAGACAAATGTTTCTGAGCAGGTAAAATAATGTTTTAATAATTATATCAAGTTAAATTGAGTAGTTCATGTCATAGGCACCCACCCAGGCTAAACAGGGGAGAGCAACACACATAAAGATGTGTTAGCACTCTGGAATTAAATATCAACAGGTAATTATGTTTATGTACTTTCTAATTGGAGCACTTAACATGTTTTTATTAATTGATGTCAATTTTTTTGGCATTAAAGTTAAGGAAGGGCATTTGGGAGGTAAAAACCAGTATGTTCCAGTAAAAGTCTTGAGTCTTCTCTCAAGCATGTTAGTCTGTTGCATCCTAAAGATGCTTGTAGATATCTAAATATACAAATCATTAATCCCATTATTAGTATAATTTCTTCAGTAGATAATTAATCTCTGTCTGATTGTTGGTTTTAGTTATTGATAAAGTAGGATACAGCAGGAAGGGAGGTTTTGCTTGGCTGTTTGTCTCTTATTGGTACTGGACTTTCTCTGCCAATTTAGTTAAGATCCTGGAACTACAAGAACCATGTAAATACTTTCAATTTCAAACATTTCTTGTCCACCATGTATTCTAATTCATAGGAAACATTTATGCCGATTGAGAACTCCAACCTGAACTTTGAATAATTACTTACCTTGTTTTCCCTGAATGTATACACAAATAATGATATATCCAATTTGTATCCTTCACGATAATTAGGGATATGAAATGTGTTCACCTTAATTAATATCTAGTGATGTGTAGAGTTTCATGTTTTTCAGCTAGTAAAATATCTATTGCAAATGTATTTTTTACTTTGTCTTTCAGATAAAAGTAGTGTAACTAATTTACAGATATGAAATAAGGAATTATTTACTTATTGAAATGAATGTTAATTTAAAAATCTAAAATATTTGCATAGCTTAAAAAAACAGGAATTAATATACTTACAGAATATCCATGGAGTTTGCAGCAACATACCTAAAAGAAGATAACAAAACAATTTCTAAGTTGCTGCAATTTGTATTGAAGGAATATTTTTACTGTCTTATAGCACTGCTGAATGTTGTTCTATTTAATTATGACATTTAAAGTGATGACTGTGGAACATTTTAAAACTTCTTTCTAAAGCATCTGAGCAACAAAAGCCAACTTCTGACATTCTAATATTGTTCCATTAGTCCTCATCTTTTGAAAATGTGTGACTTTACAGTTCTTTTGTGATACAAGTACAGAATGCCAATTTTTTATCAAGTTCTGCCATTGTAAAAGAAGTAAAAGAAGGTACAGGTAAGTACACAATATCAGAAAATCTTCAAGTATAATGGAATCCACAGTAATAGAACAAAACATTCTGTCAAGGACAAACTGTATCAAATTGATCTAATTTCCTTCATTAGTGTGACCTGCTTGGTGTGTAAGTGGACAGCAGTGAATGTCATTTGAGTTTAGTAAGGATTTTGTGTTGTTCTGCTATGCAGCTGCAATAAACAACACCAGGAAATGGAATCTAAATTAAATCATAGTTGTAGGGATGTAGAATTGGCTGAAACACTCAACAACAAGTCATCAGGTTATCAAAGTGAGAGGGCATAGACTGGGATCTGCAGGAATTACAGAACAGTTTGGGCTGGAAAGGACCTTTAAAGCTAATCTAATTCCAACCTCCCTGCAGTGAGCAGGGACACCTTTGACTAGATCAGGTTGCTCAGAGCCCCATCTAATATTGCCTTGAATTTTCCAGACATAGGGCACCCCCCACATCTCTGGGCAACCTGTTCCAGTGTTTCACCACCCTGATTGTAAAAGACTTTGGCCTTAATATCCAGTCTAAACCTGCTCACCCCTTCAGTTTAAAACCATTACTCCCTGCATATCACAAAAGGTTCTGTTAAAAAGTCCAAGTGTGGTAATAGCGTGTATCTTTATATGCACTTTTTCCTGGGAAAGCACACAGAATTTGCTGCTACTGCTTTTGCTGATTATGTTTGTAACTCATGAGCTGGATTGTTCATAACTGAAATGATGAATTTCAGTGAAGAGAAGCACATTTCCACTCATACTACCACTGTTGTATTTTCTTTTGATGATTCTACTAACAGTTAAATTATTGTCTAGCAATGCTGCAATTAGATCCCCTAAGAATTAATATAATTGCTCTAAAATTGTTACCTCAGAACAATTTCAATAATGATTAACTTTTTAGCACACCTAAGATAGGTAGATTAGCAGGAACTCAATTTGAAACCTATCTAGGACAAACAAATTCTGCAATAGGAAGTAAGAACTCAAATCCCTCTTCTATTAAACATTTCCCTTTCCCAAACCCTGCCCTTACCTCATAGTTTTTCCTCTCTGAGAATGTGGTCTCCCTTTGCTCTTGCGGGAAAAACATAGAGAAAGGTGATACTAATGGGGTGGAGAGGGGAATTGTCACAGGTTTTGCTGTTACATGCTGTAGTTAGCAGAAAGTGCATGGCCAGGTTTTGGAAGGTTTTTTCTTTTCAATATGCTTTTGCATGTGTTTTGCAAACTGTATTTCAAAAGATTTAGGAAGAATATCTGTGATATTACATTTTGTCTTACAAGACAATCTTGTAACAATTGTGCCTTCTCCTATAGTAAATCAGGAAAGCACTGGATCTGTGTGTGATTGTCTCTGCTCAGTCAACTAGAAACTGGGAGAACCATGATGGGGGCTTCTGCCACTCTCCTTCCCTACTCCATAAAGCCCTGTGGAAATCCAGTGGCTTAAAGAGTGCTCAGCAAAAGCAGATATTTTTCCTCTGTGATGAATATTAAACCAAGAAACCACTAAACATTTTTTTAACTCCTGCCCCTTGCATTCAAAATCACTTAAACCAAACCACAGTTTCCTTTGGACCTTTTAAGCTTAATTTCCTTCTATCATTCCTATTACAGATAAAGAACCTGATAACACTTTCTCTTCTGGATAGTGTATTATCATTGGGTATTCATCACAGGGCACTGGACTGCTCATGGTTATGCAAAAAATGAGATTGGAGCTAGAACACTTTTTAGACCAAAACCAAACTACGGTTTGTGATTTTTGATTTATTTATTTTGCCTGGCATCTAGCTGTGTTACGGACGTTTGGATAGCTTTTATTTCATAACATTGCAGCACATACTCTGAACAAGACTCTGCTTTGCCACAGCCAAATTTCTGTCACTGAGGGCCAGCTGGGAAACAGGGGGAGAAGCCTAGATGTTTTGATGTCCAGGTTTATGTGTTTGTTCTGTGATCACTGTTCTAGAAAAATCAAAACCATGTTGTGAATCCAGTAGGAACAGTACAGAAAAGGTCCTCAGCCTCCCCCTGGCTCTAGCACAATGAGAAGGTAAAGTGCGTGTGCACCTTCTTGTGGGAGGCTGGAACAAATCCTACACAGGATTAGTTGCAGTCTTTGGAGATCATCTGTGAGATGTCCTAAATTGCTCTCAATTTCTGTAATTTACTACAGAAAATGAGGATTTCTGGATTATTTTTAAAGAAAACCCTCAAGAAAAAAAAAGGTTTTGATCCAGGCATTATTTTGGATTTTCATGTGCTTAGGTGTGCTTGGGATTTTCATGAGCTTACAGCTCAGGTTTTTTATTAAGACCTTATAAACATAAATAGATTGTCAATTACTTGCAAATAAGAATGGGACGTGGGATATTGGCTTTAATGAACTACAAAGCAATTTGGGTCAACTTGTGAAACCGCCCATTTCCTACCCTGTCAGAGAGTGATGGATGTTCTCTGTAGAAGAAGGAACCTATATGTCTAAATTTGCTCTGCCAGATTGATTTAAGCCTCCCACAGGCAGTAAAAGGATAGGCATTCTGTGCAATTCAGATTTAATTTAAAAACTCACAGTGACAAAATTGTCATTATTCTGTGTGAAGGAGATCACCCAAAGGAACACTGGTTGCAGGCAGTCCTCACATTCATCCATAATGCTGCATCTTCATTCAAGAGGCTGAAAGGAACACACCTTTACCAGTTTAACTCAGCTGGCCTAATCTGTCTGGATATTAAATCTAGACTAAATTTCATGAAATTATTACAGAACTCTGTGTGTTGCCTTCCTAGTTGACTAGTAGATACTCAAGTAATCATTGTATAGAGGTCAGCTTGGCTTTAGTTGAGCAAAACCTTTTCCTTTCCCATGGAAAAGCTGCAGCCCAAATGTAAAGTTATTTTACATGGGAGTACCTCTTCTGGATAACATTTTTAGGATGAGCTTTATTTTAACATAGGAGGAAGATTTGTAGAGTATCTGAGCTGTCCCCTTTACACAAGTTTTGCTATCAGGAGTTAAGAGCTGTTTGAAAAATGAATATGCAGAATATCAAACCCAGACTATTAAATACTCTTTTTCTTGCTATGACAGATTAAGGTGGTTACCTGTCGTTTCAGCAATGAATTAACTTAATCCTCTAAAAAACTATGCTTGCGCCTGATACTATGTCAGATTCTGTGACAGATCTGCCTCTCCAAACGGAAACTGTAGCTAGCAGGTTCAAATTGGCTCTCAAAGACTTGAACATGTCACTTGAACATGTCAAGAGTTTCACTAAAGAGTCTGTGAAAAGGTCCATTTCCTTTAACAATACAGAATTAGAGTTTTAATGCTTACTGGCAATCGAGAGTGCTTTCTTTTCTCCCTTCTTGTGCCCAGTAACTTTTGTTATCAACTCCTTTCTTTTTAAAGCTGTACAGACTTCCTTTGCTTATTAGTCTTGGTAGCTACTATCAGTCCCATTTTTCAGACTAGGTGTACTTCAGGTATCCTCAGGGACCCCTCCTAGTTTCTTTTGTTGCACTCTCACTTAAAAAGTCACTTCTGAGACTGAACCATCAACAGTTACTCTATCAGATACAGCCTATTAATTTACACCTTCCCATAAGAAGCATAAAATTATTTCTCAGTAACTTAAGTCAAACACTGAATCTTTCTAAATGTTCATGGGTTTTCATTATTTTATAAGTAATTACCTCATAGCTACTTTATAGATACCTGGCCCACAATCAATGTTTATGAGGAAGTAATTAAGACAGTGAAAAATTCAATAGATATATGATGGAAGGAAGGCCAAGGTTTTACATTTAGAGTAAGTATTGTCACAAGTTAATTTTAAGGTTTAATTATCTACATACATACATGAACAAAACTAAGACACGGAAGTGTACAACACACTGGTAAGTCTCACTTCTGTACCCCCACACACGTATACTTAATAATGTGATACATAATTTACAAGTTAATAAATGAAAACACACATTCCCTCCCAATTCACCATGCTGCTACTCCCCACCTATTTTTTTCCCCTTATAAAGATTAATCTGTAAGTATATATATGGCTT